GTCTCCCGCAGGACTTCCCGTCGCCGCTGCTGCTGACTTCGACAGAGGATCCGACGACTTTCCCGTATATCGAATGGACGCTACTGCACGCCTCATCGGGCGCAGTGAATCGTCTGCTTCGTCCATCTTCAGCGACACCGCCAGGAACGCTGCACGATGCGCCGAGTCCGCCTTCGAGCGGTCCCACACTCCGAAAGCGTCTTCAGCGCCGTCCTCGAGCGGCCGAGTCAGTCCCGTCCGACGCGTCTCTCCCGAAGTCGCTCGACGAGCTGCGATCTTCGGCCTTGTTCGGTCCTCGTCGCCGCCGCTTGCTCCGGTTCCTCTCCCATCAGCTATCCACACCGCCTCCGCGCAGCGAGCATACGACGGAGAAGGCGCCGAGTCCACCTTGGATGCGCTGCCATCTGCGGCTTGGGCTCCTTCGCCTCGGAGCTTTTCAACGGACCACGAGCACTTGCGCGAAGCCAAACCAGCCGACACTTCAACGCATCGAACCCGTGCCGCTCAACCACTCTTCATGGCCCCCGATCGTCCAATCAAGCACGAGGTGAGGCACCGTGGCAGAAAGTCTTGGGCACTTATGCTGACCCGAACGCAAACTCACAGGGAGCGCTACTCGCGTTCGAAGAACGACGTCAACCGATCCGTCGATACTGCGTCCTCACTGATGAAGCGCTCGAATACCGGCCGACCGACCAGAGCGGCCCCGTCCAACGGTCGGTCGCCTTCAAGACTGCCGAGTGTGTCGAGGTCGAATTCGAGCCCCCCGTACAAGCCGAGCACCTCCCGATGCGTCCCTTTGCGGTGCGCTTAAGTGATGGTCGACGCCTGCTCTTCGCAGCCGAGAAGCCTGCGGAGCGACTGCGTTGGCTGAGCGAGCTCAAGTGCGTTTGACTCGAACCCTTACGTTGACGACTCGCGGAACTGAAGCGTCGAATCCGATCCAGGTCCTTGATCCCGACTTTGCACGTCTCGACCACATGTGGTGTCAGAGACCCGCACAGCTCTGTCGTTATGACGACTTCCGACCGGAGCTTGACACCGCCGGGTTCCTTCTTCTCCGAGACTCGGGGAACGGTACGGAGCTGGACGCGAGACAACGCCCCGCCGCATCCTTCTCTACCATTGTCCGCTGCGCCTTCCGTCCCGGTAACTCCCCAGCAACCGTGGCGCCGAGCGGCCGACGAGGACGATGCTGCCCGAATGCTCGTCGATTTGGACCGCTCGTCAACGAGCAGCTCCGTAATGCGCCGCCTCGAGCGCAGCGAGACTCCCCCGCCTCTACCACCCAAGACGACGACTTTCCCTCCGCATTCGCCACGCCCGAGTCCATTCTCAAGAGAAAGGATGCCGCGCACGAACTTTGGCGGAGGCTCCACCGCCTCTACGCCTGTTCCGTCGCTTCTCGAGGAGCTGCGAGAGCTGCTCGCCGTCCTCGAGGTGGATGACCTGCGGAAGAAGGCAAAGAGCTCGCGATACCAGCGTCTGCGCGAGCGTCTCGGGGCGTTCAAAGAGCGACTAGCGTCCGACAAGTCGAGCACGATCTCTCCTCACGATGCTCACCTTGCAGAAAAGGTGCGTGCAAATCGTGAGCTCTGAGAAGGACGGGGGCTGATGTTTCGGCCGATCAGGTGGAGTATTTGATGGCGGCGAACGACACGCTCTTGCGCAAACACGAATCTGCTCTCGGCGACAAGGCCCGCGTGCTCGAAGCGGAGGAGCGAGAGCTCAGTCACCGAGTCGACGCATGTCTACAAGAACTCGCGCAAGCCGGCGGGCCTCCTCGCGATCGCTCAATCCTCGGCCGCCGTCATCAGCACGACACCGCCACGCTGACCACCCGCGCCGGAGTATACTCTGCTTCGGAGAGAGCTGCTTGGGACGCAGATCTCGAGCGCTTCAAGGTAAGGAGCCTAGACATTGCCCCGAGCCGCATGACTGACCGCGCCTTGGTGGCAGGACGAGGCAGCTCAAGCGAAAACGATGCTGGATCCTGCGATCAACCACGCTTCGTCGTCCGGAGTCTTCCCTCACCGTCAGCGCGGAACGGATGATCCGAGACCGCAGAGCTACTCTGCCATGCCGACTGCGCAAAACGCGTCGCGTGATCCGGTCGGGCTCTTTGCGGAAGATGATCTGCTGCCCGGTGCGCGTACGCTTCCGCCGCGCGATCCGTTCGCTGCCAGCGGAGTCGTGCAGGCGTCTACTCCTGGGCCTCCTCCTCCAGTACGTGAAGTTGGTATGCTTGCTCGCTCCCGTGTCGCAGACTGATGAAACTTGGTTGCCGCAGCGAGCCGATTCGATCCCGCGCCCTAGCTCGGCGACATCGCCCCCGTTGGTCCGGTCATGGGCAGCCTCCGACATCAGTCGAGTCGAGCGGGTGTGTCTTTTTTTCTGTTCTTCAGGTTAGCTTCGAAACGCGTCCTGGATTTTTTTCTTCTTCGGCCCCCAGACGCTGAGAATGGTCCTCGAGAGCTTTGAAGCGCAGAGCGGCAGCAAGTCTTCTTCACTTTCTCAACTGCCCTGGCGATTACTCCCTAATGTGTCTTGTCCCGTACGTTTACAGCTCTCGCTGAGCAGCAGGCGCACCAGAACCGCGTCTCGCAAGTCGTCGGCGAGCTTGCAAAGTGGGTGGCGGAGGACCGGTCCATCCGCGACCTCCAGTTCCGTGAGCTTGTCCACGCGATTGAAGGCGTGGTTGAGCGCATCGGTGAGCTGCCGGGGCGTTTTTCCGCTCCGAGCGAGGTGTCCGGATACAGTCCGCCACCGCCGGCTCCGCTCATCCTCCCGACCGTCGACACCGACTCCGAGTCCCTCACGGGGCAGAATGAAGGCGCGGCCGGACCGAAGGCTGTCGGTCACTCATCTCGGCCTCGGAACTGCGGAGGTATCGTCAATCCACAAAGCTCGTTCGCTCGCGCACAAGCGCAGGCGGGGGAAAAGCAAGAGAGCGGCGTCAAGGGACCTCGGATGCCGGTGTTCCGACTGTGGGGTCAGTCTGCGAGACTCTGTGTAGTCTTGAAAGGTCGCTAATGTCTTGACGCGGACAGGTGCTCCAGATCCCGTTGCTTGCCAAACCGCACCACGGGACCATTCCGAGAGTGCCGACGCCGAGCAGGGAGGAGACGAGACCATCGGCGCTGGCGCTGCCGGTCCCGTCATGGAAGCTTTGAAGCACGGTGCACGGCTCGGACAAGCACTCGAGGCCATCGCCGCCGGATCTGGCGAGGATATCGATCCCGCCGCGATTTCAAGTGAGCTCGTCTTGTCGCTTTCCTGTGTGCCGTGGTTGATTCGATCGTCGGCTCTACAGTGGCCGTGCTTGAAATCCTGGCGACCATGCGCGAGATTGCGAAAAAGCAGGACTCGCTCGAAGCCAAAGAGGCGGCGGAGAAAGCGCGCAATCACGGTTTGACCGACCGCGAAAAAGCCGAGCTCGAGACGAAACGAGCAGAGATTGCTCGCATCGAAGCTCGCACTCTGATGAGCGAGGAACGGACCGCACGTGAGTCCCCGTGCTGCCGAGTTTGACGCAATGTTCTGGCGGAGACTGATGCCAATTCAATCGCAGGAATCAACGAGATGGTGGCCAAGCTCGCGGAGAGGACAGACGAGGCCGACAGGTTGCTCCAGGAGATTGCCAAGAACGTGCAAGAGGGCAAGAAGACTCGGCTCGATCCTGCGCTTTCTCAAGAGGTCAAGAAGCTCTTGAGGTGCGCTGCCCCTGATAGTGATTCAGCTTCCCGTCCCGCATCTGACGCCTTACATATCCTTTTTTCTTGCAGCGATGTCCGAACCGGCGTAGACGAGCATGTCAAAGACTTTCGCGGTCAACTTACGAGCGAGGTGAGTCTGTTTTGTTGCGCGACGGGGGACTGCGTGGCTCAACAGTTTGCTCGTTCACGCGCAGATACAACGCATGTTCAAAGAGGTCGGTGCGCTCTTTTGCCTGTGCACTGAACCGAGCTGAACAACTTGAGTGCTTGCAGGTGGGCAAATTGCGGGACGAGAAGAAGGCGCTTCAGAGCGACATCGCGGATCTGCTAGCAGTGCGTGGTGACGCCTTAACGCTCTTCAAAACGTCGCTGACGATGCTCTCCGGTCGCAGTTTCAAGCCAAGCACGGTGGAAAGGTGGGCAGCCGATTGCTCCGCCTCGGCACATCCATGCTGACTTGTGGATGCCTGTCGCACGCAGGTTCCGGCAGCAGCGGCTCCTTCCGAGACGTCAACACTTTCAGTGCGCTATTCCGACCGCGGCATGCCAACGACTGGGTTCTTTGGCCCGCGCTCGCCTGCGCCGTGACTCTCTCTTCTGTGGCGGCACTTTCTACTCGGGCGTCTTTTTGACGGGGGGTTCTCCCCCTTCTCCTTGTATCCACTGTTCTGTTTACTCTCTCTATCCTCTTTCTCCTCCCTCCGTGTCTTTCCCGACCCGCTCAAGCTGATGTACCTACCCGGGAGTCGTTGGTACGAACGAAAAGAGCTTTCTCCGTTTGATTCGGATCTTTCTTGTGGTTGCAACGGCTTGGCGCTTCCCTCCGGTGTCTTCCCTTCTCACTGGCCTGAATTATATTCGCAAAAAGAGGTCTCGCGGTCTGACCAGGCGAACAAGCCGACGGAAGGCTTGGGTCTGCTCGAAGTTTGCCCCTCGCACGGATCACCTCCAGTTCCAGCTCGCTTGACTTGAGTATTACCACAGACCGCCTATCTCATGAGCAAACACACGAAGAAGAGAAGAGAAAGGAGAGGAGGACCAGGTTTTTGGTTCGACTTCAGGGCTCAAATAGTTAGGCAAAAGCCTGGACCGCTTGTTGGCCGCTTTTTGTCAATTTTGGACCCTTCGCATGGTTCATCGCATACAGAGCACTTGAGATACGCAAGTAGTGCGTCAACAGCGCTACGGTAGGGGTATGCCTTTCATCCGAATGGGTTGGCGCAACCGGGGTGGAAATGAGAAGGCCGTCTTTGCTCTTCCACTAAAAAGCATGCAAAAAAAGTCTCCGAACTGGCGGGATCGAACCGCCGGCCTCGGGATATTTACAGCCAATTACAGTCCCACGCTCTTCCAGCTGAGCTAAGTTCGGGTACGCTTAGTGACCGAGCTCAACAAAAATGCCGTACATGTGCAAAAACTGCAAACTCCGCCCTGATTTTGCTTCTGGCCACACATTCGCCTTGACTTCGTTTCCCTGGCACGCCAGTTGTACTGCAGGTGGGACGCGAGCCAGTGTGTGCTGCAGAATGCCTACAGTCGGCAGCGAAGTCTTTCCGCGGTCCCGACGGATGACCCTTCATGCTCGGACTTGTTTTGCGTCGCAGCGGAGGCCAAACTCTGTAGCGGACCTCGATCTTAACGGCAACCTTCCTCCATCGTATACTAGCTTCTGTGAGCACCTTCACTCGGTAGCGTAGCCGCCGAGACCGCTGCGCTGCTGCGAGTCACGGATTCCCGTGGACATGCCGCGGAGACGAGCGCTCGCGAGGTTCGACCGGTCGCTCGCGCTTTCTTTGCTTGGCACGACTCGCTCTTGCTCTGTTCCTGAACAACCCATCTTTACTCGCCGGAACATCTGCCAAGCTCCTAGGTCACAGGCTCCGATTCGTCCGAATCGCCGCCGACATCATGCCACCTCGCAAGCGGGTCGTTCTGCCGGACGAGACCGACACGGCTCCTGCCGTGGGCGCGCTTCCCTCCTCGCCCACTTCAGCGTTGCCAGGGGCCGCGCCTTCCCAAGTGGCGACTCCGGTAGTCCCGATGCCGCCGCAATCAATCGCCGCCACTTTCGCAACGTCTCCAAGTCCTGCCGATCACGCGGCCGAAGCGTTCGCACATCTCTCCTTCGACTCGTCAACGACACTACCCGCCTCTTCCTCGACCTCGCAGCCTCCCGCAGCCTCGTCAGTGGCGAGATCAGCGGCAGCCGAAAACAGACCGCACGCCCAACACCCGACCCCTGCCGCTCGATCGAGCCCGTACCCGCCTCCGCCCGGTCCGCACACAACTGCACATGCGGCAAGCCAGCATGGTCATCGCAGCAACCGGATGCACTCCGCGGCCTACCTCAAAGAGCTCCAGAAGGAAGATCCGCTCACGCGGTTTCTTTCCCACGAGGAGGAGCATGTTGCAAGGCTTCGCCGCGAGGCCGTTCGTACTGCAAAGGAGCGCGCTCTCGAACTTGGCTCGGGGGTGGAACATCTGTACAAAACTCTCCTCGAAGCTTTGAACCAGGCAAACAACGGGCAGTACTTTCGCGTGCGCCCGGAGGAGCTCGAGGAGCTCAAAATTTCGGCCGTCGAGTCTCGAAAGCGTGCAGGCTTGCCAGCCGTTGCACGTCCGGCAGCAGTGTAAGTCATCCAGTCTGTCTGATGGACTTGTGCTGCTCTCTGACCGCTTCTCTCGCTCTCATTGCCCGCAACTCGCACGCGAAGAGCTCGGCCCGCAGCGTCGGCTCAAAGCGATTTTGTCGATCGCTTTGATCCGTACGAGCTTTTCAGCGGATCAGACCCATACCGCATTCTTGTTCAGCACTTCCAGCCGTACATACAACAGCAGGTTGCAGCAGGTCCGGCTGCTCCGAAGCTCACAACAGGACCCCTTTTCATGTATCAATGTGCTTTGTACGGAAAAGGCCAACTGATGTCACAGGACGCGTCCGGAGAATACATCGGCACTGCTGCCACCGATCGCATCTACCAGGCCTTGGTGAAGGCGGCCAGAGAAGTTCTGACGGTAGAATGTGCCGGAGATGTTCGTCTGCTTGTGACTATCCTGCAGGCACGGGATGGGCTGACTCTTATTTTCGTAGGACGCCGGGCGGATCTGTGGTGGCCCTACCGTCCGGAACATCTATCGACGCACGCACGGCTACAAGGATCCGATGGAAACACTAGCACCGCAGCCGGCTGTGCAGCACGCCTGGAAAGAACTGACAATCGGTCAGTCCAAGGTCATTCTGCGCCCGGCTAATGACTTCCTCAGATATTTTCCCTTCTTTCCAGCCTTCTATGCAGTTCTGTACGCCGTTGATGGTATCCGACCCTCAGCAGTCCATGCTGGCGGAAAGGTTGCCCAATATGTGGTTGGTGTGTTGCCTCACATCTTTGAACCCGCGAAACAGGGAACAGCCTTCTCAGAACTCTGGGGCTACGACGTGACTGTTGTCGCCTCTATGCACCCAAAGTTCAGCAGTGATACACCGGAACCCCGGACATGGTTGGCACTCTTGATCCAGCAGTGTGCAGGCCTCATCCTGGGCCAGGAATACTGCCCAAGCGCACCGACTCCTCCCATCCCGGATCTGACGCTTGTGTATCGCCTCCTGGAGGCAGTTATCAGGCATCTCCCTCCTCAACTCCGGCGCAAAGTGGATGTGCAGTCCGGGTGGAGGTCATCTCTACAGGGGTGGGAGGTTGGGCCGCGAGATTCAATCGAGCAGCTACTCTTCGCCATCATCGACTGGCTTCGAGAAGGGAACGGAAAGGGGTTTCCTCCCCTTGCACGTCAAGAGACAGCTCCCCGTCTGACAGTTGTGTCCGCCGCGGGCCCAGGACTCTACAACTGCCTGGACGGGGAGCTACCGGCTGGCAAGTTCCTGAACGAGGTGCAGAATCCGGAACTGCGCCTCTCGTCCTTCCTGTCTGCGCGGTCGAATCCAGACACACGCCGCGATCTGCAGGTATCTGTGCCAAGCTGCTGCAGAAGTGTGCACTTCCACAGAAGGGGCAAGTTCCACAGAGATCGACACTCCTGCGGGAGCGAAACTCGGACCTGGGTCACTGTGCATGTGATTGCGCTCAACCTGCCATATCTAATTGCACCGACCCCTCAGACGTTCTTTAACGTCTTTGGAAACAGGGTCCCTAGCTCGCAGAAGGCACGGTCACTCCTGACAGCACAAGAACTTGCTGAACTGCCATTCGATCCGAATGTCGATTGCGACGTATTTCTCCCGGACAAAAGCCCAGAAGTGTTGAGATACCTGATTGCCGTTGAGGGTCTGCTGCTCAAAGAGCACCAAGTACGGTTCACGGCTGCACGAGGATCAGCACCGGGTCCTAGCCACAACGCTCACCCGCTCCGTGATCGCTCCGGGCGGATGATCCTCACTCAAGAGATGCTTGAGTTTGTCCGCTTCGGTACGCACTTTACAGGTTCTTGATTCTGTACAATATTCGCTCACCCGATCCGCGTTATAGTTGGGCAGGAAGAAGATCGTGCATGGCACAGAGGTATCGAAGGCATCAAAAAGATGGTCAATGCGGCGATTGAACGACGCGGTCGCTGGTCCTGCCAGACCTGTGATCGGTGTCCAACAGTTGTCTGGGGCAGCAGCAATACTCGTGTGAGCCAGCATTTATGCCTTAATCCGGAACGCGGGGTGGAAAAACCAACATTGCACCGAGGGTACCTGGCTGCTGGATCCTCGGTGCTTGATCTGCCAGTGGCGGTTGCGCGGGCTGGTCTCTACCTCGCCTTGGACACCAACGAGAATACCACAACCTATCGCACAACTGCCCCACGAGCTCGTATGCATGCTTTTGTAACCTTCCGTCAGCCTTAGATACTGGTGCAATTCTGGAACTTGAGCCTGTTGCGGACAAGATCTGCTTCTCCTCTCTTGCAGGAACATGCAAGGATGGATTTGCCTTACTCTGAACAGCAGGCAGCCAGTTACATCTTGGAAATGTGTATACTGGCGAGACAAGCCCGCGCAGACCGCAGTTGAGATGCGCATGCTTGGTTTTACAAGGTGGGTGTGAACGAACGGACTACTGCGGCGGCGTGGGCTTCCTCGGCTCCTTCTCGAACCATGAGCTCGAGAAGCTCGTCGCTGCGACAATGTCGAACACGCGATCGCCAGCAAAGAGGAGAGAGTCGGCCGTGTTCCGGACCGGACCCTCTGGCATCGCGGTCGTGTTGACCCTGGAGGGAGGAGGGGTCAGTGGACGAATCCCCCTTCGGTGCTCCTGCGTCGGGATATGGCGCTATTGTGTAGCTAGCGAGGGAATAGCGAGCGTCCCCGAGCCGAGTACATGTCAGGCTCGGCCACACGACACCTGAAGGGCGATCCTTCGCCTTCACGAGGGACTTTTTGCTCCCGGTACCGGACCAGCTCCGATCCTCCTCAGCGACGCCCAAAGATGTACTCCCCACTGACAGCAAAAAACTCCCGCGCCGGCGGTGTGCAGAGACTCACTGGAATCCCGTATGCCGCTTGACGCCAGCGAGGACGGTCGAGACGAGGACGACGTCCAAGGTGTAGTGGACGAGCCTTCCGAGGACCATTTTCCGAGTGATGCAGGACTGCTATGCCGGCGTTGCTTGGCTTGAACAGCTCGTGTAGTGGCGAGGTTGCACCGTGTGGGGGCGATGAACTGGTCCGAGGTTTGTCTGCCGCGGCAAGTCGGGGTTGAGCGCATAGCGTAGCAGTAGAGAGGCAATTGGCGTGCGCACCTGGTAAGGCTGGACTCGGCAGAACGTGTGTGGGGAGGAGAGAAGCAGACGCCGTCTCGCGCCGCCGCGGGCCGATCACTCCCAAGCGAGACGATTTCGGCGACAAAGAGTAGAGCGACTATGAGAGCTTGCAGGCCAAAGTCTTGAAGCCGAGAGCGAGGCGGCAGGAAAAAAGGCGCATGGCACAATACAACATCGTCTAGTCAAGTCTGCAAGTCGCTCGTCCGCGGGAAACGTGTCTCTCCTGAGATGGCCCCTCACGCCACCATTCCTATAGACACAAAGCTCGGTCAGCACCCCCTCAACAGTAGGAAAGGAGCCCCGAAGATGGACTCACCTCGCAGCTTGCCGCGCGTCGAAGCCGACCGGCTATCGCCCTCGCTCGTTCCACCAGCACTCGACCGTCGACTCATCCCCGCTTCCGGAGTGCTCGTCCTGCTCTTACCCGCTCCACCAGGCTGGAGCTGCTGCTGCTGCTTGGCCGCCGCCGCCGCCGCGATCGCCTGCTTGACCTTTTCGCGGTCGTCCTCCCTCCGCCGCCGTGCGCGCTGCCGGACGATCAGGACGCGCTCGAGACTCTCGCCGAGCGGGTCTCGCCACTTTTCGACAGCGCGGTACTGACGCTCAATA